GGAAATGGCATATACACGTAGTTTTTGAGACAGGGTCTCCCTGTAGCCTCAGCTGGCCTGGAATTCACTATGTAGACCAGGCTGGCCTTGAATTCATAGAGATCCATCTGCTTCTGCCTCTGCCTCTTGACTGTTGCTCACTTATTTTCCACTGTGTTAGGGATCAAATCCAGGATATCTACCGTGCTGGGTGAGTGCTTGGCCACTGAGCCCCAGCCCCAGCCCTCACAGCTAATTTGAGCATAGGTAGCATGACAGATGTAGACTGGATAATTTAAGAATAAAAATGGTCTGTTTCAGTGTAGTAATGGGCCACAGTAATTTAATTTTCACAGTCATGTCCAAGTGGAGCTGTAACTAAATATTGCTATACTGACCCCAGAGAGAGTCAGTGAAAAATGTCTATCTCCTTCATTGACTATTAAATGGCACAAGAAGTATATATATATATATAATATATATATATATATATATATTCCCCCCCCCCGGAGTGCTTGCTACCACTGAGCTAAATCCCCAACTCCCAAAGTATATTTTTAAATAATAAGTTCATGTTTATAATCTCTTATCAAATACAATGTTTCAGAGCTCTTATCTAATTTTATTGCTGCTTTTGTTTTGGTTCTTCTGAAGCATAGTCTCACTGTGTAGCCCAGACTGTCCTCACATTCATGACAATCCTCCTACCCCAACCTCCTGAATACTAGGATTACAGGCATAAACCACAGTGCCAGCTTTTTTTTTTTTTTTTTTTTTTTTTTCCGGTCTTTTTGAGACAGAGTCTCTCTGTAGCCCCAGCTGTCCTGGAACTCACTATGTAGACCAGGTTTGCCTTGAACTCACAGAGATCTCCTGCCTCTGTCTCTTGAGTGCTGGGATTAAAGCCATGTGCCACCACGCCCAGCTTTACCATCTGTTCTCACTGGACAGTGTATTACGTTACATCCAGACCTAGTACCGTTTGACGTCAATGTTTAGAATAATATCTTGACAAACCTGTCCTCCTGTCATCCTTCTTCCTGTCAGAGAGATAAGTAAATATCAAGCATTACCCGAAACTCCAGGCATTTGTCATTTAGCAGGGTCTATAAGATGACAAATGGGCACACCAAGACTCTGGTCTAGGTTGTATTGTGAGTCAGTGACCTGACACACAAGGACAAGGTTGTTTCATTGATATTTCTAAAGCCTTAGTTTCTACTGGATCAATGCTATGTAGGAACTCCATGAAACTAATCAAAGGCTTTGTCTGGACTGTTAATAGTATAGCTTCAGCTCTCTCCGACAAGTCTGTATGCCAACAAAGACAGTGTCATGCATTTGTAGAATATTTAAACATCCTAAGAATGCTTTTCAAGAGCATAGCATGACTCCCAATGTCTGCTGTCTTAAAGCTTGAAAACTCAGCATTCTCAGTAAAATTAGCCCTGCTTTAAAATTCTTTAGTTTATTTCATTGTGTTTTCCTCAATCTATTACAGAGCTTTGGCAAGGTCCATTCATTTTAGAATGAACATTTTCCTTATTTCTATTCAACAAAAGATACTTGTTGCTTTTTCAAGACTTTAACTTCAAGTGACAATGTTAAAGTATCTTTGACTTAAA